ACTTCTTTGCCTTCAACTACTAACACTACATCGCTGTCGTTCCATGATTGTGAAAAAATGTCTGAGTTTTGACTACCGGTACTCATATTTTGCTACAGATAGTCGAGATAGATGCACAGAACTGAGTGGAAACCTAGTACTCTAGCAGCCTAAAAATTAATAGTGCTAATCAGTCATATTATTAAAGACTCATAATTAAAATCCGCGCGAAAATCTTTGTGTTGTAATGACACAACCCACAGGGAAATACGTCATGTAAAATAAACGAAAAGTCTCAAAAAGGACTAAATAAAAAGTATTATTTTCAAATGAGAATACACGCTTCTGTGGAAAGTATGTCATCTAACAAACCTCTATCATTGACATGGGTTCTATATCCAAAGTGATGTGCTTTCCAAAGGGTGCATTCTAAAAATCCGGTACTCCTCATCGGCCGGCCTTTGCGCAAATTATCTGACCTTCATTGCAGCAGGGGGGGGGGGTTGTAGGAATTTGCCTTAGGCAATAATAAAAGATGGGCTTACTTGGCGACAAATCGTGGTCAACTTTTAATGTTAACAGGTACTTAGAAATATTGTGAAAAGAATTAACATTATTTTCTCACTCTGATAACTCAGTTCAGGTTGACCACCACATCTGCGTGCAGATAGCGCTTAGTGAAACTTATCTAGAAAGGCCCATCTACACGATACGACTACACCCTCGGAGGCAGACATGCCAACTTTGGGAGTAAGCAAAGAGGGAGATTGGGAAGTATGGTCAGACAATGACCTTAGTGGCGCGGGCCAAGGTCCCTGCGCTCATTTTGAATTTTAAGCGGTCTAATTCCAGTTGATTGCCAGAGAAAAAATTTCGAAAATAATTGAAGAAATTAGCTTTTTAATTTTTATTTCAAATTTTAGACTATTGATTCGAATGAGTTGTTAACTCAGATGAATTATATGAAGAAGAAAAAGCGAAAAAAAGTGCAATGATTGATGAAAATATTATGCATTGTTGAAGTTGTTGAACTACATGAAGATAAAGTCGGGAGTTTTACGATAATATTCAAAATCGTGCGGGAGATGAAATTGAGCTGTAAAAACGGGAGTCTCCCGGAAAAATCGAGAGAGTTGGCATGTCTGACCCTGGTGTATGTACTCGAATAAAAACATGTAAAGATGTCACATGTCAAATTTCGCCATAAACTGATGAACAGGGATAGTATAGCATCAGCAGTCATTTTCATACGCCAGAATGACAATCGTGTTATACGATTTGACAATCGTGTATGGGAAAGTTTTGGGCCGCATTAATCATTATAGGGTTGACACAAAAAAATTATATTTTATGTTCAAACATATCATGTCTGTTCTAGTGTCTGTAAAGAAACCAAAAATTTAAATAGGCAAAAGAATGTGAAAGGTTTATAAAAAGTTGAAAAAATAGAAGATGCGTAGCCAGGTTGAAACATTATTTATTGAGCGTTCTCTGACTTAATATTTATTTCTACGAGCTTTCGGCTATCAGTCTATAGCCTTCGACGGGTGTATACAAATGATATACACCCGTCGAAGGCTATAGACTGATAGCCGAAAGCTCGTAGAAATAAATATTAAGTCAGAGAACGCTCAATAAATAATTTATAAAAAGTGTTACATTGAGAGGTTTATAAAAAGTGTTACAATGAAGTAAAAGTTTACCTTCTGACAAACATACACCAAGTGCACACCTAAGTAACTTACTTAATTTAAGTAAGTCTTAAACGGCCCACAGATTTACATCACCCCGGACATCACAACTTCTCTACAGACTTAAAAACATACTAATTATCCAATTAAAAACCAGTGAGGCACTAGGGCAAGATTTGTATAATTCTGGTTCCCTTGCCACAAATCTGTCTATATTTTGAACGAGATGGTCAATGTAATGTTAATGTGCTATCAACTTTTAAAACAACAACCATTCTCTAACATAATTGTATGACTTTGTTCATATGCTCAAATACATTCAATTTGCATCATATGTTCCAGTTTGCATAAACAATATCAAAGTTTATTGGGCAGGAAAGTTTAAATTCCATTTCCTGATTTTGCATTAGCCTTCATATCTAGCACTTGGGTTATAGAATCTCCAAATGATTTCATACGCATCTCTCTTAATTGAACATGCTCAATCTCAGCAAAGATTTGATTGACTGCTTCATCCGAATAAATATTCGCAGGGTATCCCGAAACTGGCCATTAAACGTCGCTATGAAAACTGGTGATTGAAGAGCCAGTATAGTTTTATGTACATGGAGTTCCCAGCCTTGGACAACTAGAATAACGTCGCTATCATTCCACGGTAAAGTAAAAGAATTTCTCTCCGCTGAAGATGAATTTGTTTCTCCCGCCATTTTGGTTTCTAGTGTCGACAAGATCACAGGGAATACAAGCATCAAAAAAACATCAAGAAATACCCAGACTGGAACAGATTGACAACATTTGATTGACAAGATTTGTTGATCTGTTCTGATCTGAATTTTGTCAAGCTGCTCCAATCCGGAATCTTGTCGATGCCGGTGTCCCAGGAATTTCGCCCCCCCCCCAATTTTGCCCCCCGGGGGGCGAAATTCCTAGGAATATCGCCCCTCCCCGGGGGGGGGGGAATTCCTAGGAAATTCGCCCCCCTTTAGGAAATTCGCCCCCCTTTAGAAACTTCACCTTTTCTTTATGATTTTTTGTCCTCCGTTCAAAATTTCGCCCTTCCTAACAGTTGCATGGGATAACAATTACATGGCTTTAATAATTTGAAATCAATATCAATTCAAAGTTGTTAAGACAGAGCTTGAAATAACAACCGATCAATGATCGGCATGGCATTTGGTTTTGCATCCACGTTTTGTCGTTATCGGAAAATGTATGGCTTATAAGTTGTCACTATTTTTTACTTGCATTATTTCAATATAGTTTGTAAATCTCAGAAGCAAAGGGTAGAACTTGCCAATAGGCAATACTCCAATAATATACGTTTCAAAAAAGACAAAAAAGCTTTTAGTTTTACCAGGGTTTTACAGAGTTACATTTTCAAATGTTTAAGGCACTAATAAAATCAAAGTATCATGAAATTATTTGAATAAACCACACCACATATATATATAATACAATTTTCTTTGCGGAAGTCAAGAATCAAGATTACATCACTAACACTGACATGGAAAGTTGATGATTCAACGGACAATAGCCAATACGCTTCCCAACACATTCCATAGATTTTTTATTAATCCTATAGTTTATTGTTAGCAAGTGATTACTGTGGCGGCTATTGTTAACACTGATATTGATAAAATTTGCAAGTGATTGTTTTTATAATATGTTATGTGAATGTAAACTGCCAGAAGAATACGACATGATTTTATGCGATCTCTGTGGGCAATGGTTCACTTTAGATGTGTAGAATATGACACTAGTCTAAGTTGGATTTTTGGATTAAATTATTATAGTATACTACATGTGTGATGAGTTGGTATATTTTGTCTCCTTGTAATAAATAAATAAATCACACAATAAATCTTTTCAAATTGCAATCGTTTTGTTTTTAGATAAAAAATTCAAAATTTATATGGGAGGGGGGGGCGAAATTCCTAAAGGGGGCAATATTCCTAGGAGATTCGCCCCCCCCCCAGGGGGGGGGGCGATATTCCTAGGAAATTCGCCCTGGGAGGGGGGAATATCCTAGGAATATCACCCCCCTTTTGAGAGGGGGGCAAATCTCCTGGGGGGGGGGGCGAATCTCCTGTGACACCGGTCCAAAAATTAAGTCAAGCGATGTAAATTATACACTAGTCTCAATGTTCCCTACGGTTTTAAGGAAATCCACAAAATCCAAGCAGCTCAAACGAGAACTTTCAAAATGGATAAATAATGGTCTTTCGGAATCATGAGAGAACACGCATTTGTTGATAAATTTCTGGTAAGCTTTCAAACAACGGCGGCAATTCCTGATCTTTTCAAAACTTCCTGTTGCATTGACAACTCCGTGAAAAGAACACCTGACTGACTTATCCATGAAACCGTTTTTAAAGTGCCTATCCAACATGAAGAGAACCAGGGTATAAGCCTGCTTCGCAAGTTTCTCTAGAGAGTGACATTTTTTCACCAATGTCTGGATGTAAAGACGGTCATCACCAAGTTCTGGAGCATAATTTTCTAACTCCTTTGTTGATACCTCTGTGCCAATGACTTCAAGTATTTCGTCCAGTGGTAAATCATGTCGTGAGGCATAAGGAAGTAGACGCATTGTAATCTCTGGTTCAAGGTTCTCAGCTTCTTTCATACATTGCTTTATGATATTAATAGCTGTGTATTTATCGGCAACTTCAAGAATTTGTAAAATATTTTCATCGTTGATATCTACATCGCTTTTATTCTCATCCAGCATGTTCGGTGGATATAATAGTTGAAGGAATAGCAACATCGTTTCATATTTATCATCTTTTAGCTCGATCTTCTCTTGTTTTGAATCCTTGAAATTGCCGTTGAACATCGCCTTGAACACTGGGGATTGCATTGACAACATATAGCGATGAACATGAACTTCTTTGCCTTCAACTACCAACACTACATCGCTGTCGTTCCATCGTTGGGAAAAAACGTTGTCTGAGTTTTGACTACCAGTACTCATATTTCGCTACAGATAGATGCAAAGAACAGAACTGAGAGGAACCTAGTAGCCCAAAAATTAGTGGTCGTCAGTTGCGCGAATTTTAGTACTGCGTGAAAGGTGAAATATCACCCGATCAGCGCGTTTGACGCCGGCTGACAGCCGGAAATTTTGTCTCCAATTGCTCGGCTGCCAGCCGGGCTGTACAATAGTTAGCCTGCGAACAGGCTCTCAAGCTGAATTGAGAGCCTGCATCGATGACTAATGAATTTGAATATCTGCGTCTCAAATCGTGACGCGAAATTCTCATTGGTCAGATGCTATAATTTATATGTTTCCGCTGAGCTCTATATATGTCAACTGCTGAAGCACTATGCATTAAAAAACACATTAACTGATCAAATTGGTCTTGGCCATCTTATCTCTGAGCATGAAATGTTCTGTTTCGAGAAAACAGTATTTAAAACATTTAAACTTTTGCTTGAATATCTTATATTTCGAAAAACAGTATAAACTGTACGGTCTAAATTTAGTTTGCACGGTCTAAATTTAGTTTGCACGAAAGTTGTAAACAACACCATATAAGGTTAGACATTCCATATTTGGAAAAACGAACGTTACGGGGCAGATATTCAAATTCATTAGTCATCAATGCAGGCTCTCAATTCAGCTTGAGAGCCTGTTCGCAGGCTATACAATAGTATACTATTCGTTCAAAAAATGCGCGCATTTCGGAGACTGTTTCTAGAATGTTTCATAAGCAGAAAACCACCAAAATTACATTAAATTTTCCGAAAATCATCGAAATGCATCTAAATTCATCTTCCCAATGCATATAGCTAGCTATGCGACAGGTAAATAAACGAGAAAAAAAAACAATTTCGGCAAAGAGAAAAATTCAAATTCGCTTGCGCACACTCCGGGATTGAACCCACGACCCTCAGCATACACACCGGGTGTTGTCCTCTTGCGCCACCACGTGTCTGTAGTATACTATACTATAGTGTACTGTAGTATCGCGGGTACCAGCCGGTCATTACGGCTATCAGCCGGGAGTGTCTGTAGTATACTATAGTATACTACAGACACGCCCGGCTGATTGCCGTATTGCCGGCTGGTAGCCGCAATGTATTGTAATATACTATAGTATACTACCGACAGGCTCGGCTGACACTCGTATTGCATTGTAGTATTTTATTACAGTTAAATAACCTCGGCTGGTAGCCGTGATGTTTTGTAGTATACTACAGACATGCCCGGCTGATAGCCGTATTGCCGGCTGGTAGCCGTGATCTATGCCGTGAGGTATTGTAAGTATTGTATTAAAGAGTAGATACGGCTCGGCTGCTACTGTACCCTTGGCCGTGTACAATGGTGTACGTATTTACGCAATCATAAATCGCGCTGGCTAAGAATAACTTGTATATATACAATTAATTAACATATTTTCCGTGTAAGACGTGGTAGCGCAAGGGGACAACACTCGGCGTGTATGCGTGTATGCCGAAATTGTTTTTTTCTCGTTTATTTACCTGTCGCATAGCTAGCTATATGCATTGGGAAGATGAATTTAGATGCATTTCGGAAAATTTAATGTAATTTTGGTGGTTTTCTGCTTATGAAACATTCTAGAACCAGTCTCCGAATAGCCTCCGAAATGCTCGCATTTTTTGAACGAATAGTATACTATAGTACAGCCCGGCGAGTTTGACTAATGGTCGCGGGTCGCGTGTCGCGGGTAAAAAGTCGCGGGTAAAATGTCGCGGGTAAAAAGTCGCGGGTCGTAAAAAAGCTCTAAACCGTGTATTTTATTGAGTCGCGGGTTGAATAAAGTGTGTAAAAATCACATATATTTAACGGTTTTAATCAATAGTTGTTCGAAGATGTTATGGCTGCAATATTGCGAGTTTCTAGATAAATATAGACAAGAACCATATAACATTATTGTAAAGCACGTTGATAGACGGTAGTGCAAAAGGATCCTGTTACACATTCCTATGTTTGTAGTCCTGATTTTAGTAATACATATTACCACCCAATTTCTACCATATCAGGCGTAAAAATCCGCTATTCAGTGGCTCAGTGCGCGTTGTCGTCAACTGCTCTGCACATCGATTAGTACTTTCCAGAAATAAGTGCTAGAGAACAGCGACTTAAATATCCGGGTTGTTGGTGAATCATAATGTACTTTCAGTATAATGTCCTAGCATGGATATATCTATTATTTGTGATACTATATGGTTGTTTTTAAATTGGTATAAAATTAACTGATTGTAATAGTAGTGGTAAACTGAATTTATTTCTACCAAAGTCTTGTTTGTTTCTTTCAGAACATATTTTTTTGATTAGAGGATTTTTGTCATGGTATAATTGTTGGTTTAACATATTGAAATTATTCTTTCAAGTTTTAGGCTTCTGGCACGTTTATATAGAACCATTAAATCATGACAAAAGGCTCTTGGGCAATATTTCGTGTTGAAGCAATCCTATATAGTTGTTTACTAAATGATAACGTGATTTTTACACACTTTATTCAACCCACGACTCAATAAAATACACGGTTTGGAGATTTTGTACGACCCGCGACTTTTTACCGGCGACATTTTACCCGCGACATTCTACCCGCGACACGCGACCATTAGTCAAACTCATTAAATCATGACAAAATGCTCTTGGGCAATATTTCGTATTGAAGCAATCCTATATATATAGTTGTTTACTAAATGATAACGTGATTTTTACACACTTTATTCAACCCGCGAGTCGGCGACCAATAAAATACACGGTTTGGAGCTTTTTAAGACCCGCGACTTTTTACCCGCGACCCGCGACATTCTACCCGCGACACGCGACTTTTTACCCGCGACACGCGACCCGCGACCATTAGTCAAACTCCAGCCCGGCTGGTAGCCAAGCAATCGGAGACAAAATTTCCGGCTGTCAACCGGCGTCAAACGCGCTAATCGGGTGGAAATATAATCCGCGCGAAAAGCTTTGTGGTGCAATATGACACATCCATTGTTAGTAATGCATCAGTTGATTTATTAACTGATTTGCATTATGTTATTTTGAACTCACGCGTTATTGTTATCATGAATTTTGCTTACATTAGTACATGATTTTGAAGCCATTTTTGAGGCCACCTAATCGCTTTTGATTAAGTTTTGACAAATATAGAAGTATTTGTTGTAACCTGAGTATCAGGCCGTACTTTTTAGGGCACAGGCACGCCTGATCGTGGGCGAAGGGGAGAAAAGTACGGCCTGACACAAAAGTGGCATTTTGCCTGGTTGTTCAGTCCAGAATCTGGACTGAGCGCTGATTGGCCGATTAGACAAACGATTTTTAAATCTGTCATTTGATTGGCTGGTGCTAATTAGATTATACTATTGTTGTTGATATATTTTATAACGATCACAATTCACAATTACAGGGCATGTAGTAAAACAAACACCGCGGAAAAACGTCTGCGCATGCACCAAATTATGAAAATATGGTGGGGAATTTGAATATCAATTTCCAAAACAAAAACATGCTTATTAATTGGTCAAAAATTAGTAAAACAAACGAGAAAATATAGCAAATGGGTAGACTAGACATTAATTGAAAGCGTCCTGGCATTTAAAGTATGGAATGAAATATAATTCATGTAAAAAATTGTTGATTTTAACGGACACGACTTCGAAAATATTTGCAAAATTATTCAAAACAAAAATTCAAACTCAAAAGTTAAGAAAACTCTCGAAAAGTTAAGCTTCTTAACCCACTCAAATTGCAGAATAAATCCTAAAGTTTAATTATTGTGAACACGAAATTTTTTTATATTTGGCGACACAGTTTTTTTTAAAGAAATGTATCTCAAACGAAAATTCGGAAATTGTCGTTGCTTAGTTGATAAACAAAATGTTTTAGACGATAAATTTGTCAACAATCACCTTTAGTTTATGTTCTAGTACAATACAATTTCTTGAACCTTCTGGCTGTATTTATTCCTAGTTTTTAGAATGACATGGTTATCTTTGCGCTTGAAATCTGGCTGTAAAGACGCACAATGAAGTCACTCCTTTTTACCGCCATTTTGAGCCTTCGGAAACGTTCGGAACAGCTTCTCATCAAGTTCGCAATACTATTACAGGTAAGGTTGACGCATGCGCAGACGTTTTTCCGCGGTGTTAGTAAAACATGGACTGGACTCATTAGTAAAACATGGACTGGACCCGATTAGTAAAACATGGACTCGATTAGTAAAACATGGACTCGATTAGTAAAACATGGACTCGATTAGTAAAACATGGACTCGATTAGTAAAACATGGACCCGATTAGTAAAACATGGACTCTATTAGTAAAACATGGACTCGATTAGTAAAACATGGACTCGATTAGTAAAACATGGACTCGATTAGTAAAACATGGACTTTATTAGTAAAACATGGACTCGATTAGTAAAACATGGACTCGATTAGTAAAACATGGACTCGATTAGTAAAACATGGACTCGATTAGTAAAACATGGACTCGATTAGTAACACATGGACTCGATTAGTAAAACATGGACTCGATTAGTAAAACAATCCTAAATGTAGTTCTTTGTCTGTTTTTTTTTGTAAATTGTAATTTTAATAATTGATAATAACATCAACTTTAGTGTATAAGAGGGCATGTAGTAAAACATGGACTGGATTCGTTAGTAAAACATGGACTGGACCCGATTAGGGGCCGATCATTTAACTTTTGAGGGGGGGGGGGTAATCGTTACGTGCAAGATTTTTATTTATTGTACGTATTGCACCATGTACGAGTTTTTTTGCCACACTTTCTTTCGCAGCATTTTTTTTCAATAGCTTATACTATTTAGATTCTTTAATTATAGTTAACGTCGAGTTTTCCGCTTCATGCATTGCTCTTAATAATACATATTGCTATGAGGTATAACATTTGGTTCAGGGCCTTTTTTAAGGATGTTTAACTGGAGAGGATATAATTAGCGGGGGACCTGGAGAAGTTCCAGTCGGCAAGTCTGTATCCAGGGCCGTAGGGGGGGGTGTAGGCCAAAAATTTCCGAATGACGAAAATAATTTC